CCCCACACAAAGTTTGAGAATTTTATTATTTTGAAATTTGTGCGCTAATTCGTGGCAGAAGGCCAAGCGGTGGAACCGCAGCCTTGAAGGGGGCTTTTGGCGCGCATTCCTCACCACCCGCCCATGTCGTCCCCTGATGCAACCAGAGGGTAAACAGAGGTTCCATCACGGTTCTATGGAACATCCCCTGATGGTATTTTTAGACCCTCATTGCCGTAAGGCCGTAGATCCCGTCACTGAGTATTAATGGTACTCCATTGGCACATGCCGTAACAATTAAGTGCACTCTTAGCTTGGGCATCCATTCCGTGAATTATTAAGGGTGTCTCACTTGACCCACGACAGCAGCAGCAGCAGCAGCAGCAGCAGCAGCAGCAGCAGCCACAGGACACATCCAGGACACGGCCAGAACACCCAAAGCACTCGAAGGTCAGCCCATCATGACCTCTTGTGGTTGATGTCGTTGTTGTCGTTGCTGCCGTTGTCGTTGTCGTTCTCGCTGTCTCCGTTGCGGTTGTTGGCCAACAACTGCTGCTTTTGACTCAAACTTTTGGCCCAAACACACACAGGAAGAGTGAAAGTAGGGGGTGAGGAGTAGTGCAACGAACAACTGCAACAGTTCCTCCATGTTGTTTTGCAATGGGATTTGCATTCGTCCAACTTTCGGGGGGGGAAGCAAACTTTTGTTTGCTTGTTGTTTTGGCGGCACAACAATACAGGCAATTGCTGGGGATGAGAGGAGAGGCGAGGAGAGGAGATGAGGGGTGGCGTGAGCAACAGAGGGTGTGCAGAGGAATGCAGAGGGGAAATCCGAAGCACCAGTAAGTCTGATCTAATGAATTAGGTGCCAGGCCAGGCCAGGACAGGACAAGACAGGGCAGGACCTGGACAAGCCGGGACGGACGCGTACAGGGGTTGGGTGGGGCACCATCATCAGTGTCGGAAAGATAAGACGAGGCAATTTTTCACGCCTGGCGCACATTTTCTCGGCCTTTTCCCTTGCTGCTGGTGCTGCTCCAGCTTCTACTCCTATTCTGTCCTGCTCCTCTTTCCTTTCGAGAAACAAAAAACGTGAAAAACTGTCGCCCCTCCCCCACCACAAAACGTTGACAGAAAACGTTTGGCCAAAAACTAATAAGCAAACAGCGTAGTGGAGAGAAGAGGAGAGGAGGGGAGAAGCAGACAAGGAGTCCAGGCTGACAGCGGTCGACGCACTGTCAAATTAGACATAGTCCTGCAGCCCCCCAGCCTCTGCCGGCCCTACCATCCTGAGCCCCAGTCTTAACCCGTTCAGCGCTGGCCAAACAAGGATCTGTTGTCTGGCAACGATAAAGCACGGCAAGGACCTTCCAAAGCAGGGACTAAGCAGGGCGGATGGAACGGACAAATAAATAAATAGATTGCATTTGTGGGCGTGGCTCGCTTTGCTGAAAGAAGAAAGAAGGAGAGTGTAGAGAAAGGGGCAGAGAATGAAGGGCGGGGTAGAGAAAGAGGCCGAGGCGGTGGTAGAGCCAGATGGAGTGGGGAGGGGGAGGAGGAGTTGTAGAAGTTGTAGAACCGATGTTGAAAAGTAAATAACTGTCAAAAAGGGTTCAAGACCTGCGAGGGATAAGTATACGTGTTCGTGTATGTGTGCGTCTGCGTGTGTGTGTGTGTGTATATCCGACAGGCGTTTGTAGGGTTGTGCATAGCCAGGCATAGTCGTGGCCGTGCCTCAAAGATGTGTCCAGCAAAAGTCATAAACTCAAACACAAATACAAGCCAAAGCACGCACACAGAGAGAAGAAGATACACAAACGTATGATGATAATGCCATTGTATCCACCCCAAAGGGTATTCAACAGAAGGTAAGGCATACCCAGAGGGCTGCTGGATACAGTGGCACTCCAGCCATGCCCCGCATTGAATATAGCTTGGCCACAGCCAAGGATGGATCCCACAGCGATAGAGAGAGATAGCCAAGGAGTCCAGAGCAACAAACATTTTCAATCAAAAGTTTAATACGCCGTGAATTCATTACACGTCCGATGAATGATGGTACCGCCCTCCGTCCGACCACCCACCACCCAACAGGACACAGAACTATCCAACAGAAGACAGCCTTAGAGGAGCCTCCCCATAGGACGTAGCGGGGCAGGCGTATGAGGGCTAGGGGCTCTGGGGTATGGCTCATGAGGGGATGTGTCTGTTATTTTGGTGTTCTTTTCTCATAAGATACAATTTATTGCCGCCGTCATGTACGAAAAGTACGAAACACATGTAGACACACAGGCAAACGCACACACACACACACACACAGAGAGAGAGAGAGAGAGAAGAGAAGAGAAGAGAGACGAAGAAGAAGCGAAAGTAAGAGAAGAAGAAGACATTTTACGGCCATCACCCCACCAAAAAACACACCCAAAACACGCACACACATGAGTATGAGTATGAGTATTAGTATTAGTATTAGTATGAGTATGAGAGTTGGATGAGCCTTAGAAGCCCATGACCTTCTGCGTCTTTGGCGGCCATTGCATGTGAAGGAGCAGCAGCATTCCATGTTGCTGCTCCCATTGTGCCCCCAAACAAAGTAATCACTCTTTTGTCCCAGAGAAAGAAGCGAGAGAGAGTGGGAGAGTGCGAGAGTGCGAGAGGGTGAGAAGGGGGTAGAAGGGGAGGCTGCTTGCTTATTGACAGTCAGGCAGTTAAGTGTCAAAACACAGTTTAAGCCAGACCCGAGAGCGGTGTCCTCCGAGAGCAGTAGCAGGAGCAGGCACCGCGGGGGCAGACAACCGACAAATTATAAGCCCAAAAAAGAGCTGCTGCCAGAAAACAGAAACAAGAACGAGACGAAAATGAAATGAAGTCGAGAGGCAGCGGCACAACTTGCTGACGCAGGAGCCCTGTCCCGGCCACCTCCACCCCTTCCAGGCCCCGCCCGGATTCCATTCGCAGCGCCATGTATTCGATGATGACACGAGGCCGCAGCAGGCGACGCCCAAAGCCAGGGCCAGGGCGAAGTCAGACCGACAACCGACCCAGCAAAGCCCCAAACATCCAAACATGGAAACTACCACTGTAACCAGGAACCAGCAGCAGCGAGAGGCAGGAACCAGCATCAGCAAGAGACAGCCGCCGCAATATGTGCGGATATTAATGATGATGACTATCATAATGGATGCGCCTCCCCGTGCTCTTGCCCGTACCCGTGCCCGTGCCCGTCTCCGCTAGAGGGGCATGGCCACACCCTTAGTCCGGCAGGCAAGCAGGCCGCTTTCCGATTCCTGATTTCTGTTTCCGCCATTGCGCTGTTTTCTTGCCTACCAGTTTCGGTTTCGGTTTCTGTTTCAGTTTCGGTTTTTGCTGCTGGCAACATTCAAAATTCAAAGTGAAAATTTCACGAGCAATTGCCGAACTGCCCCCCGCGGGGCGCCCACAGGAAGCAAAGGGGGAAAGGAATAGGGTACAGGGGACGCGGATGTATGTGGAGCTGCGATTATGCGGACCAGTGTCGCATTTAATTTATGTAGAAAAGCAAGCTGCGCTCAAATTGAATTCAAGTGAAACAAGAACAAGAAAGGCAGGCCCGCGTCGAGGAGTCGAGGCCCCGAATACCCTAGACACAGAGAAACGTCTATTTGAATGCTAAGACGGCTGCTTCCTAGGCCACTGATATATCCATGATCCAATGCTTGTAGGGCCATAGATCTGTGAAGTCATCTCCATCCCTAAAGAGGAAATAAAACAGACAGATAATAGATAGATATAATTTGTATATGGTTCTAGATATGTCTTGGAAAAGAGAGCCTGGCTCTACCTTCCAAGTCCACCCTGAAACAATCGTGTACCAACAAAAATGTATGGGCGTCACAGATCTTTCTATGCATATTGTCTTGTATTGAGCCTTTAAATCATCTAAGGAATCAAAAGTGGAGTAGGTCTTTCCGTTGTGCCGGGATAAACATCATAGCAGCATCATTATACCCTTCTAGCATGCCAGGAGAGGTATCCCAGGAGGCAACCCGCTCCCAGCAATACGAATAATGTGAACAACTGCCACCTGTGTGTGTGTGTGTGGCTGTGCGGCTGTGTGTAGGTGTGTAGGAGTGGGTGTGTGCCCATAAATACACGCCCCCAGGCAGGAAGGCAGCCAGCAGGCACCGCACAGTGGGGCAAGGGATACAGATACCCCTCCTTTGCCTTCGCTTTCGCTTTCGATGTCGGTTTCGTTTCGTTCCACTGTGCCAGCGGCCATAACAAATTAGTAGCGGAAGCGGAAATGGCGGAAAACGTCAACGAAGAATGTTGCCAATGCTGCTGCAGATGCTGTTCAGGCTGCCTCTGAATGCCCTGCCACTGAATGTCCTGTGCGTTTGTGTGTGTGTGTGTGTGTGTGTGTGTGTGCGAGCGTGTTCGAATGGGTCTATAAATGCGAATGTTTTTGTACGTGTAGTACGTTTATATTAACAACTGTGCGTCACTGTTTCTGTTTCAAATTAGCAGCAATGCGCAGCAGCCATCACAATAACTCCTTGGGGGCGCTGAAGGAACGGGGAAAAAGAGAATTAAAAGGCGAAGGAGACGGAGAAGGAAAAGGAAAAGAACAGCTGCAGCGGAAAAACGAAAACTAACTGTTTTCGAACCCACTCTAATCCATCCATCAGCGAATGCAAAAAGACAAACGCCAATACAAGTAATCAACGTAATTGATAAGGCCACTCAAAGGGGAATAGTAGCATACCAAATGAATTAGAGAGAGATCCGGAGGAGAGGCGCACGAGTTCCAGTCGACAGTCCACGGACGGAGAGGAAGGTCCTAGGTCCTCCTCGAATGGTTGAACGAATGGCGCCCGCGGTGGCGCATGCAGGTCAGAGCCGCGTCAAGCTGAAATCAAAGTCGCCTGCAGAATCCAGCGGGAGATGGACTCCCCCGAGTCAGAGTCCGTGCCAGATGGATCAGCGAATTACCAGCAAAAACATCAGCAACACTGCCAGCAACAGCAACATAAACAGCAACAGCAACAGTAACAGCAACAGCAATAGCAATAGCAAGCACAATAGCAATAGACGAACCCCTCCATGGAACAGCCTGCACCTACACCAGCTCCTGCTCCTGGTCGTCCTGGCCTGCAGCTGCTCCTTGCCGCCTTCGGCGCAGGCATTACGTCTCACGAATGGCGGCAGCAGCCTCAGCAAGAGTGCGGCCGCCAACAAGGAGCAGCTTAACATCGGCCTCATCGCCCCCCACACAAACTTCGGGAAGCGAGAGTACCTGAGGAGCATCAACAACGCCGTCACGGGGCTGACCAAGACGCGCGGCGCGAAGCTAACCTTCCTCAAAGACTACTCCTTCGAGCAGAAGAACATCCACTTCGACATGATGTCCCTGACGCCCAGTCCGACAGGTGAGTCCATGATCCATGGGGATCCGTTATACCCCGCTCTTGCCCCGCGGGGCTATTGTTAATCCCGGGGAACTGGGAAAATTTGTTTATTGGATGCCCCTAGCTGACCCCCGCTGGTCACGACACCTGGCCGGCGGTCGTGTTTTATTTGCGTGCGGGGTTTTTAATGGCCGTTAATTTTGAGCTACTTAAGCGCTTAATACCCGCACCTTCGCCTTGCCTCATTCCCACAGCGCATTCTCTCCAACAGCCTGCCAGTCCTGCCTGCCACACAATGGAAAAGCGAATAAAATTGCGAAAAAAATAAATGAAAGGAATGGAAAGGAAAGATGTGGAAGTGCGCGAAGGATGCCAGCGACATAAATAAATGTCCAGGCCAGACTTCAATTAAAACTTGCCAGGGTTGCCGGGGTCCGTTGCTGGTGCTGCTCACAACAGAGTTGTCAAGGGCCACAAAGGGCGGGCAGGACTGGCAGAAAAAATGTAAATGGAAATGTTTTAAATGCGGGAGGAATGACCGGACTAAGGGGATGGGGGGTTGCATAACTAAATGTCCAGGCCAGAGCCGCTGGCCAGGGTTGACAGGGCACGTTCCCACTATGTGAGCAGAGCAGGACCTCCGCTCTTTGCGATTCATTTAATTTTACCCAATTTCCCGTTTAAAAGCGTTCAGTTCGAACAAATGAAATGTCCAATTATCAGGGTTGCCAGTGCCGCTGCTAAATTTGGAAAAAAGGATTGCCCATCGATGCCCGATGCCCGATTCAGTGAAGCAAACGAACCCCACTCTCGACTACTCTCTCCATTTGATTGCATCAACTTCGAATTCCGAATTCTGTTTTCCAAGTGCAAAATTGCATTTCAAAAGCCACGCCCACGGCCGCACTGCCAGGGCTGCCCCCCTCAGTTTCGAGTATGATTCCTGCATTGGGCAACAAATTGCATTCTCCACATGCAACTGCCACTCGGCGCTCTTCTCGATCCCGTTCCCCCCACTCATTCGCAATGTGCCACAAAAATATGCAGAGTTATAAAGTGTGGGGGGGGGGGAAAGAGCCGGGGAAACTTAACGTTTCCAAGAGGAAAGCCAGCCAAAGGGGCTGCCAAGGAGGGGAGAAGGAGAAGGGGGCACTGGAAAATGCCTGGCAAGCGGCAGAGCGAAGACTGATTGCTCCCGGGTCAGTCATGTGCATGTTGCTCGTGTCTGTGGCACAGAGCGCTGCCAGGAGGAGGAGGAGGAGCATATTGAAATTTTATGTTGCATTTCCACAATTTTGTTGGATAAATTGATAAAGCAAACAACACAGACCCACACACACACACACACAGAGAAACAGGAGACAGAGAGGGCGTGAAGAGGGGGTGAGCGCTGGAAAGGAGAGCAAACAAAAACCCAAACGAATTTTCAATGCTGTTTTAATGTTTATTATGGGGGCCAGGACCTTCGAGCATGTGTGTCTGTTATTCTGCATCTGCATGTGTATGTGCATGCGAATCTATGCCTGTAGCTCTGTGTGTACGCAAATTACAACACATAACAAACAAAGTCTGTCTGCTGATTGCCCCATCCACACAGCCGCTGCCAGTGCCAGTGCCAGTGCCTCTGCCACTGCCACTGCCACTGCCACCCATCCGAGTGTGTTAGTCTATTGGGAATTTATAATGGATTTCTATAGCTCTCACACAAAAATAGACACTGACGGGAGGGGAATGCGAGGGGGAAACGAGGGGAGCAGTCATGTTCGCTCGATTGTTATTTCTCACAAAACGTCGAACAATAAGCGCGTAGAGTGGATGTTTGCCATGATTTGTGCCTCCTACGTCGTCTCCTACGAGTACGTATGTCCCCGCTGCCACCCATCCCTCCCATAACATTCTATCACCACCCAAAACCCCCATCCCCCATCCCCTGTCCCTGTCTTTAGGTGGAAAACTTTTGCCATACTTGAATGCTGCCGCTTGATTGCTTGCATCTCTTCGAACGGCTCCTCCATGGCAACCGAATCAAGGGCCGCCTTGCCCTTGCCCAGCTCTTGCCCAGCCCTCGCCTCCCTACCACTGAACAGAACCAGTCCAATTCAATCCAATCCAACCAACCAATCACCCACCTATTCAACCAATCGACCCATCGATATCCTGACCAAAGTTTTGTGGCTCGTCTCTGCCCGCAAATTTTATAATAATCGTATGGAAATTGAATTCGATTCTATGCCCCATTCTGTTCTGTCCGTCGCTGAAGTTGTCATTCTACTTGTTCGACGCGTTCCTCATTGTCATCGAGGCGAGCTCGAGATGGGATCTCTGGCCAAGAGAAGAAGGAGTAGATACAGGAGTGGAGTGGAGTGGGTTGGATTGCTATGAGTGTGTCCCAAGCAGCAGCTTCCTTCGTTCGGAGACGTATTCTTGCCCCTGAAGTTGATGATTTTGTGTCAAAGTAATTTCATATGAAATTGTATTACTTTAACCTCCAGACACAACAAACGATTACCGACGATGAGAAGGAGTATAGAGAGTATATATATATATATATATATATATATATATATATGTGTGTGTGTGTGGCAGCCTTTCCTAGTGCCAACCATAAACTTTGATGGCCTGATTATCGAGTTTGGCTCATTTGCGGCGATGGAAAACGGCCAACAACAAAAACAACAACAAGCAGACCAAGAGTGGGAGGAGACCAGGGAACCAGCCCCAGATTACGGACAATTGCTTTACAGGGCCAAGAGCCCCAGTAGCGAACGAGTTGAAGATGGGTCCATCGGGACTTTTCCCCGACTGATGGGATGAGTCCCGACTGCCGCTAAGAGGCTGAGGAGCTAAGAGCTGAATGAATGAATGTTCTAGAACTTTAGGAAATTGTATTTAACATGGATTTACGAATTTAGACTGACAATTTTGAAGGTTTCTTCTCTTTTTGACTTACTCCAAGCCTTTTGAGACCATTCGCAAGATATATGGGAATTTCATTTTGGCGTTACGTTGAAAAAAACTTGTGTCAAGAATCTCTTTCTTTAGGATACAATAATAAGGGACTATAAAAATATAAAAAAAACCTATGTTAATACTTTAACTTAATAGGTTTTCAGAGCAAAGTTCATGAAAATATATGCCAATTGGTTGAATAAAAAATAATATGGTGGGCATTTGACCGAATCTTTATGTTATCTATCTTCATGATTTATGATTAGTGAATGAGGAGATCTGAAAGTTATGAGGTCCTCCTTACGGCTCAAATGTGGGAAAAGTTTCGCGTAATCGTAAAAACATTTTTATTTGAAAACTTTGCCTGTATGAGAATGTAATCCATCTGTAATCCGCAATCCGTAATCCGTATTCCGTAGTCCCCAAACTGTTCTCCTATGTTGTGGCTGAAGAAGCACAAGTGCCAGGGACGTCGTCTAAGCTCTATTTGGCTTCTCGCTTCACTGTCCACTTAATCTGTCCATCCGACTAATTTGCAATAATTGTAGAACAATCGGGTGAGCCAGGCAGCGAACGCCAGAGCCGAATCACTGATGGGATAATTGGAGCATTTTGGGCACTGGTTGGCTGGTGAGTTTCACCCATTGTCTGGGCTCTACTAGACAGACGGCATCGTGTTTCAGCTGTATTTTCGTCCTTTATCCGTATCTGCTCACCCATGTGGGTCCAATGGTTGGATGCGGTCTTTGTTCGTCTGCGCTTCGTCTCGAGAATTGAATGCATTTTTGGCCAATGCACTCTTCCAGTCACGCCTCCTAATTGCTATTCACATGTATGGGGGCAAGTATATTTTGATTTGATTGAACAGTTCAAGGATTTGATACTTTAATTGTTGCTGCTTATTGCTATGATTATTTGTCTCTGATCCCCAGAAAGTGTTTTTGAAAGTGAGCCGCTAAGTGAGTCTTAAAGCGACACATAAAGTGCGCCTTGAAGTGAGCTAGAGAACTTTTTCTGGAACAGGCAACGAGGCGTATGAGTAATATCATTGCAGCCGTTTTCGGCATGACAATTAATGGCATTTTGTATTCTCAATGAATGGAATGATTGAATGATCCAACTAAGTCCTTGCGATCCATGTCATCGCTCCCCCTTTCTCGAGGCTAGTGGGATTGGTTTCACTTTGTCAAATGACATTTTAAGTTGGCGGAAATTCCACCCTGCCCCGAATCAAACTGAACGGAACGGAACAGAACAGACAGAACACAACATACTCGGTATCATATATCACTCTTTTGTCCCCGACAACAGTCCGGTAACTGCGGACTATCCCGTAAGTCATTTTTCTTGTCATCCTCGCGAGCGGAACTGCTCTCTTTTCAAGAGGGAGGAAGCAGTGGTTGAGTGGTGGAAGTATTGCTCCTGCCCCTCACCTGCCCGTTATTATTAGCCATTGTACCCGCGATTACCTTCCGGCAGGACTGCATCGGGCCATCGACATGGCCGTGAAGGCTGTTAACCTTGTTTACATCTTGTCTACACTTGCTGCCACCTAGCACCTCTGGTCTGTCCACCTCCAGTCCATCGTCCATCGTCTATCGGGTAGGAGAGCCTCGATAGCCAGAGGGGGATCTACGGGCAGGCCATGGCCACGGCCACCCATTAATAAGCTGTTGAAGCATGTTTCTGTCGCTAAGTGAGGGCGATTTGCACACCTGCCAGGTGCCTTGTGCCCTGGGTGCCTGACAGGATGCCTGCCGCCATCTGACCCTCTGCTTTCTTCCCCCTTTGCCGGACACTTCTAATGCCATTAAAATGCATCCCTGATAAAAAGGTCCTCTCCTGGAGTGAGTGCTCGAGCGAATGAATATGGAAGTGGATGGATTTCTATGAGTGTTCGTCTCCACTATCAAGACGAGGAGACCCTTGAATTGTTAAAGCGGCGGAGGGGCCATTGCACAGCCCCAAGGGATTGACTTGTCAGGCTCCGGGACCCCTGGCCCTATTTATTGGCAACGTGCAAATATTCGGCCACAGCTGCGTTGGCCGTAAATTGATTCTAGGATCCATCC